ATTCTCAGTAAAACAATTTTTAGGCAATTTAATTCCCTATAATTCATTTTCTTTCCACCCATTTTTCACATTTGCAATCAAACGGATCCTAAATTTCTTGGTGAAGTTATGAAGGAACTCATTGGATTTGGAGATTTCACACCCTCTATTCATGTAATTTCATCTTTCCTTGTTGAATAATTCTAGGATTTCGACTTTTCCTACATGAATTTGTTTGAGATTGATTTAACTTTTATTAAATTCTTCATAAATTTAATCTCGCTCTTTCTATTGAATAATTGAAGTATTTGTTGAATTTTAATCTCAAATTTATATTATTGGTGTGATTAATTACTGCCCTATACTTGATGTATATGGTCGTTTCTTAATCTTATTCCAATGTTTAAAACATGGAAATGTGTTATAGGAAATCTAGGTTCCAGGATTACAATTGAAATAAATTGATTTCTAATGATATATCTTTCGATTAGAGAGTTGGAATGAAAATCTCTAATTGAGTAAAAAGAATGAATAATTCATGTTGAATGGCCCAATCCAATTGAGGGAATTCCGGTGCTTCATTATTCCAAACATTGATTTCAATTTCGTTATTTCAAATATTGATTTAAACTTGACTAATGCAATAAATTCTATAACACATTTCAAGAGAACATTCACCTTTTGATCCTTTGAGCAATTCTCCATCACCTTGTGGAATTGACACCTCAAAGATGTGCTGCAAATATCGCATTATTATTTGAGTGTAATCAATTGACATCTTTCGTTCTTTCAATTTATAGTGTCATGTCACTAGAGTGCTTCTAAGTGCCGATACTAAGGAAATCAGTCATATATATATCCACTTATCACGTAAAATGAGAAATAGTGTTAACACTGTCTTCTTATAAAATAGTAACTAACCCACATTTACAAAATCACAGTAGTGACATACACACATTTACACTAATTGTCTCTGAGGACACACACACACACACAAAAACTCATGGGTTCTCTCAAAGTTCACAAGCTTCCTCTCATTGAATTCACATGTGATAACTTGAAACCTGGGACAGCATCATGGTCTAACGCTTGCAGAGAAGTGATTTCAGCCCTAGAAGAATATGGTTGTTTTGTGGCATCCTATGATAAAATTTCCTTAGAATTAAATGACGGAGTTTTTCATGCATTAGAGGAACTTTTTAATCTTCCCACTGAAATTAAAGTCCAAAATAGGTCTACTAAACCCTTGTATGGGTATGTAGGTCAAATCCCACTTATTCCTCTATATGAAAGCATGGGTATTGATGATGCCAATACACTTGAAGGAATCCAAAGTTTCACCAAAGTCATGTGGCCTAATGGAAATTATATCTTCAGGTACACTTTTCTTAATTCAGTAAAAAAATAAAAAAGAAAGAAAAATTCTGAAAATGTTATTTTAATACTAAAAAGCGGGCATCCTCGACGACTTAAATGCCGATTTTTTTTATTTCGTTGATGCTGGTAATGTACATATTTTAGTATCGTTTCTTTGTTAATTTTTTTTTAACTCTTTGTTTTCAACTTATCTGTTAGTGAAAAACTTCTTCCATACACTAAATTAGCAGCAGAATTGGAACAAATTGTGGTAAGGATGGTATTCGATAGCTACGGGGTGGAGAAGTACTTTGATTCCCACATCAAGGCAGCTAATTATCTTTGTCGGGTTATGAAGTACAGAGAAGCAAAAGTTAATGAAAGTAAAATGGGGTTTGTCTCCCATACAGACAAGAGTTTCATGTCCACAATTCATCAAAATCATGTAAATGGTTTGGAGATCAAAGCAAAGGATGGTGAGTGGTTTGGTGTTGAGCTCTCGTCTTCGTCGTCTATCGTAGTTATGGCAGGCGATGCGCTTATGGTAGGTATATTACATTCTAGTAGTAAACGTTTAAATTGTTTGAGAGAACAAATATGTTTATTTAAATGTCTTCGACATGACCACATGCATGCCATACTTGGTTTTTGATAAAATACCTAGAGCATACAGAATTTTAGTAAATGCACTACAATGAGGCTTGAATTCAGAATCATTGCTCATAATATAAAATCTTAAGTTGTTAAGAAGGTGATAAATTTATTTATATATTTCAATCATGTCTTCAACAACATTTAGTTGATTAAAGAGCTACCAGAGAGAGTGACATTTACTAAAATTTAATTTCTTTGTTTGAACTAGGCTTGGAGCAACAACAGGATAAAATCTCCCCATCACAAAGTGACTATGGAAGGGAAAGAAGTACGGTACTCCATTGCGCAGTTCTCATTCTTGGAGGAAATAGTGCAAACACCAGAAGAATTAATTGATGAGGAGCACCCCTTACAGTATAAACCATTTGATCACCTCAAATTTCTTGACTTCTACAGCAAAGAAGAAAACAGGAGACTTGAAAGTGCTATCAGAACCTATTGTGGTGTTTGACATGCTTAATTTCGAACACTTTTAGCCTGTTTGAAAAGACTATTTTACGTTGCTCTCGAGAGTACTTAATGCCCAAAAACTACTTATATATTTTATTTATTGCAATGTAGTACTACATACTAAACATGTCCTAAGCATGCATATAAGTTTGTGAAATAAACAGTTTGCTTGATCTAATCCATATGATATCAAGATTTATCGTAATCATGCTACAGTGGTGTTTAGTTGTTGGGAATGTTGCTGTTTTAGATTTCAAATCTTGTTAGATGCGTCTAAATTGTAGCATCATGAATACTTTAGTAAATATACTTGTCACATGGCAAAATAAACGGTGTCTAAATAATTACAATCAAATGCAATCTCATAGAGATTCTATCCAAGAGCTTTGCAGACACAGTGATTCAACAATATTATATTTCTTGTGTATTACAAGATGTGTTTTTGTTTTTATTTTAAAAAAGTAAAAGATATACACTAGTATTGGGTTATCGAAAGTGTAATTGGAGTTCATTTTGGACTTAGACATCAATTCGCCAGCAGACAACAAGTCTTTCGACTTAGGCACTGACTAAAAGAAAATCCATAGAATGTATTGGATCACATGCTCTTAATGTATTCCTCTTGCAATTATTTTATTTTGTATTATATATGGAGATGATAATAATCGGTAACCAATAAGAATAACAATGAGGTAATATTGTAATTTTGTTCAATAATATAATAAGTGATTTGGAATTAACAAACATCCATATGAGTATATCAAGTAAGTACGAAAACAACCGGAAGAAAAAGTGCAAAATAAAGAAAATTGGCATTAAGGATGGGCTCGCCCAGCCTCACAGTTTGGATTTCTAATTTGTTTTTTGGCGGCTTTTTAAGCAAAATCTTAACTTTTCATGAATCATTGAGGCATTTTCGTTGTATATTGATGAAAAACTATATAGAGGAGATAGTTTTCCATTTCTAAACACAATTGAAACAAGAAACAACAAATCATTCCATACAATCAAGAAATTATTACAATTCTCAATACATATTTAATTTCTTTAGTGTTCAGTGAGTTTTGGAAGTAAAAACACTTGTGCTTAAGTGTTTTTCTTTAACAAGACTTGACCAATCTTACAAATCATTTGACAAGAGTTCATTTAAGTACCAATGAAATCTTATAGGAGGCAAATATTGTTTGAGGATAACGATTTTGTGTGAGCCTTTCTACCAAGTTTTTTGTGTTCTTGATTATACTTCATATATGTTCTCCTCTATTTCATTTGAATATTTTGATATTTAACCAACAATATCAAACGATATTTCTATGAGAACGAGACTGCCATGGCAAGAATCAAACTTATGAATCAAGATCGAGTTCGTTTGGATCGATTCAATGGAACAAACTTCACTCAGTGGTAAGACACTTGAAATTCCTTCTCACGGTGTTGAAAATCTTTTCCATACTTGATCCTAATTTGGCACGAATCTCGGAACCAATGGATGAAGATACCAAAGCCGTATGAGCTGAAAGGAAAAATTTCAAGAGGACGAATTGATTTGCTACGGTCATATACTCAACGCACTATCTGATTGTTTATATGACCTTTACACCAACACATCCTTGACGAAAGAGATACTGAATGCTTTGGAGAACAAATACAAAGCCGAATAAGAATGTACAAAAAAATTCCTAATATCAATGTTTTGGTATGATACATGTGTAACTATACATGTATCATATGATAAGTAACTTTTCAAGACTTATCATAAATCAAATGGAGAACAAGAGATACAAATGATTAATGAAGGCCACTAAAAAGTAGTTAGGAAAGGAAATGTTCATATCATCTTTACTTTCGGAAAAACTATTACTCTAACCAATGTAGTACATGTTTTCGATATGAGATATCTTCAAAAAATCGGGCATAAAATGTGTTTATAAATTCAGAAAACTTGTACTACCCCAAAATGGAAAATTTGTTGAAAAATTTTATTCTTGTGAAGGAATTGTCAAATTGTGTACCGTTGACAATATTAATAATAATAAAGTTGATTTTGCTTACTTGATTGATTGATTCTTTTATATTATGATATGCTAGATTAGGTTACATAGGTTTTAGTACTATGAAAAGAATGTTAAATTGTGACATGATTTCATATAATGTGAATAATGGCTATAAATGTAAAGCATCTGTAAAATCTAAAATGGTTAAGAAGTCTCATCAAAGTGCGAATAGAACTTCTCAAATTTTAGAACGTAATCATTCAGACATATGTCAACTAAATGTTATGTTGACTAGTGGAGAAAATATGTATTTTATTACCTTCAAAGATGATCAGTCTAGATACACTTATATTTATTTAATGAAATATATACATGAAGCCTTTGATATATTTAAAACCTATAAAAATGAAGTTAAAAATCACTTAAATAAGAAAATATAAACTCTAAGAAGTGCTAGAAGGGGATAATATTTTTCCAGTGATTTTAACTCATTTTATGAGCAACAGGCGTAATACATCAATGTTCTGCACCTAGGATATCCAAATAAAATGGTTTTACTCGAAGAAAAAATAGAACATTAGTTAAAATGATAAATATCACATTAACTTATGCTAAGTTACCGTTTAACTAGTGGGGAGAAACTTTGTTGAGTACATGTACAATACTAATAGGATTGATTCCAAATTCACGAAGGTTTTTATAAATTGTGAAAATGAAGAAAATTAAACATCGGATAGTTCAAAGTGTGAGTGTGTTTTACATATTTTAAGAACACGGACCCTAAAAGCAAGTTAGATTCAAGAGGCATCAAATGTGTATTTGTTGCATATGCTGGTAATAACAAAGCATATATACTATTAAATTGAAGACCAATGTGATACTTGAATCTAATGACGTACAGTTCTTCGAGAATTCACTATCCTTGAATTCTGAATTAAAGAAAATGTTGGAGATTTTACACCAATAGAGTGCATATTATATTAATCAAGAACATACCGTGAAATCGAAATATCATTCGATTTACCGAAATCTGATTTGAGAATACAAAATAGTGATTACCGACTTCCAATATATGAATATGGATTCATCACTTTCTAATCTTGAACGCGTGTCATTTTTTAATTCAAACCTTGCATGAAATCAAAAGAATATTAGTTACTTTCCGAAATCAAAATACTAAATTAGAATGAAATCGGAAAAGAAAAATGAGATGCAAGTGATGCGATCGGTCGATGCAAGTGTTTGACACTTTGTCCTTAAGATGAATTTGTCCCGCATCGGTGCTAACGGTTTCTCGACAATCATCTCCCAAGATACAACGACCACATCAAGTCATAGGAGCACTCCAAATGGCTTAGACCAACGAACTCGAACGGAGTTCCCCCTCTACCATAATCATGATTTTGATGCTAGAAATAATCATTTCTATAAAGTGTTTTATGCAAAACTAAATTGTAAACATGGAATGGAATGACATGAAACTATCAATTGAATTGTTTGTTGTTTTTCATAAAATCCAAACACATGGGGATTTATATAAATAGTAGTTGGAAACCACATCAAGTGATACATCTCTTGAAATTAAGAATCATAATTATTGGAAGTTACTCACACCAAAAGTCATGATCTCCAAAAGTCATGATCTTCCATATAAAAAGACTCATCTTTTCATCTACCCATTCTCTAGAATAT